GTTGTCTGCCTGAACAAAAGGAACACTAGACACAACTAACAAAGGAACAGGCTCTGATCATTTCAACTGACTCCAGTTTGTCATCAACTCTAGTTAAAATACTGTCTATTCAACCTTGTAATGGGTCAATATTGAACAATATTTTAACTTCCTGACACCATTTTTAAAACTTGGACCTGAGTGTTGAGACATTTGGAGACATCTCTTGTCTCCTAACATCATGAACTGACACAAGAATTTCTTGTTCAAGTTCAGAAGAAGTTGGTTTTCAAAGATTTTTGAGTTCAATCTGGCTCTTTTGGGAGAGAGAATCTGTCCTGTTGTACTGAGCAGTCTTTCAATAAGGACATGGGTGGAGCATAGCTTCTGGCTCACTCTCTTACAGTGGAATCCATTTTGGGTGTGTTAGTGGTGCTGCTGGTGCACCCAGCTCAGTGACATATATACTAGAATATATGTCATTGGCCCAGTTCTTCTTGAAGGCGGGCCTAACGTTACCTGCCCACTTTGCAGTGATTCACTGGACCAGATCCTCTCTCACCATCGGTTACTTTCAAAGTAACAAACAAATCAAAAAGCCACAACATGAATGTAACTTGTAACATATTATAGCAATGTAGTGTAGTAGAAAGTACAGATACTTGATGTAAAATGGAGTGGAGTAAAAGTATAAAGTACCCACATTTAACTCTACTTACAGCACGGTGGCGCAACTGGTAGAGCTGCTGCCTCTCAGCGAGCAGGTCCTTGGTTCAAACCCCGGTCCAGGGGCCTTTCTGGGTGGAGTTTGCATGTTCTCTCCGTGCATGCGTGGGTTTTCTCCGGGTGCTCCGGTTTCCTCCCACAGACCAAAAACATGCATGTTAGGCTGATTGGTAACTCTAAATTGTCCCTAGGTGTGAGGGAGAGTGTGAATGTTTGTTTGTCTCGTTTGTCTCTATGTGGCCCTGTGATGGACTTGCGACCCGTCCAGGGTGTACCCCGCCCCTCGCACAGTGATTGCTGGACATGGGCACCAGCGACCCCCGTGACCCAAAATGGAATAAGCGGGTAAAGATAATGGATGGATGGATGGTTTGATTGGTAACATATTGAGTGATGACAGTGTCTGTATACTTGGTGAGATGTTACGGCTGGTTCGAATTGAGAGGATAGACGTTCTTCCTCTGTGGCGAGCATCAGGTTCATTATACTTCTCTAACTGCAGCAGTGTGAAGAGGCAGTTTTTTGAGTTACTATGAAACAAGTGAAAGAACAAATAAAAAGAAAATAATATCTATATAATCCTTTTATTAAATTGTGTCTTATTTCTTATGTTTTAAGTATTTCTCTTTACTATTATCTGCGCTCTTTCAGTTTGGGGTGTAACCTTTTCTACTCTTCTTCTATTCCAGACCTTGGTGGCCAGCATCTCTTCAGACTGAGGAGGCCTCACAGAACCAGAGATGAGCTCATGACAGCGGACTACATGACCTTCACTCACCTCAGACATACACATCAGCTACGGAACCATGCACTGTGTACTTATACACAGTCTAAGAAGCTTCGTCTAAATACAGTTACAAGAAGCTTCGTCTAAATGCGGTAGCAAGGAACTTCGTCTAAATGCGGTTGCAAGAAGCAACGTCTAATTGCGATTGCAAGAAGCCGCGTCTAAATGCGGTTGCTAGAAGCCATGTCTAATTGCGGTTGCAAGAAGTCGCGTCTAAATGCGGTTGCAAGAAACCGCGTCTAAAGGCCGTTGAAAGAAGCCTCGTCTGAAAGCGGTTGCAAGAAGCCTCGTCTAAAAGCGGTTGCAAGAAGCCGCGTCTAAACGTGCTTGGCAAGAAGCCGTGTCTAAACGTGGCCTTTTGTGTTTTTTTTTTATTTGTGTTTAAACTTGCTACTCTGTTCATTTTTTTTTAGGCTGCCACCTGTGACGCAGCCAGAGACATCTGACAGCTCGCTCAGGTGTTCCCGATCAGCTGTAATGACATGAAAGCCAGGAATGGGGAAATAAAAAGCGCAGGACAATGAACAGAAGTAGCGACGGAGCGGCGGATTGGACAGAACGAACTTACTGGCAGACGCGCGCAACCATCGCAGAGGGGCGGGAGGCGTGTTGGCCACGGAGCACAATGGCCGAGTGCGCAACCACCGCCGAAGGGCAACAGCCGAGGACAAGCCAGTCAACAGG